GGAATGAGTTTCAAAATTATCTATCATATACACTCTTTAGAAAGTCTGCCGTATTTAAATAGACATTTGGTTACCTAACTCCTATTCTTACTACTATAGAGTAGTTACATAAGGTTTTATCACTTCCAACAGCTTAGGTTTCTCCCACCCCTCTTCTGTCTCCCTTGCAATACTCCATGCTAGAAGTCCTTCCCACCTTCCTTGACAGCCCCTTTTGTTTATGTAAGTTAGCTTTATCTTAATTGCCCACAGTTTGGGCAGCAACCTTCTTTCAAGCAGTTACGATTTTGCAAAGTCACATTTAACATAGGTAAATTGTACTAATATAACTAAATTTTTATTGTATTTTAACTTGCCTTTATTCCATTCTGAAGTTCATTTACAATGGTGACATACATGGGATCACCCTCAGATGAGAGATGTGGAAGAAAGCAGGTGCCACAATACACCGTAAACTCCAGAAAGCATAAAATTCAGCTACCTCTAAGTGTCCCACTTGAACCGATGGCTCTGGCAGCAAAGAATTTTTTAGGAAACTGTCCCTATCAGAATGGGGAAGAAAAACAAAGAAGCCTCAGGGAGGGGGGAAAAAAAAAAAAAAAAGAGCTTCTGTATCATTTCACAGATCGTATGTGGTGTGTTCTTGGGGAACAAAAGACAAGGTGCCTGATGCAGAGCATCGTTTAGGAGAGTGGGGGAGGTGGCTCATATTTTGGGGCTGCCTAGAGCCTTGGTACAGTGATTTGCTATCCGCCCCCCTTAAGGTGGAAACCGCAGGAAGCATCTGAACACAGCTTATGTGTATGCTGTTTGCTTTTATTAAGGGGACATCTAACTGAGCCGGTGGGAACAATCACACTAGGGCTGGGGTGGAGAGGGGAGGATTCGAGCAGAGAGGATGCTTGGAAGGGTTTGTCCCGTGTCCACAGTCTTTCCATCTTCCCCAGGACTTCCATAACCCTGGCTCCAAGCTGCTCACAAGTCTTGCCCTGGGGAGACTGTTCCACATTACAGCTGACGGGCTCTGGTAGGGAGTGCTTTTTGAAATAAATGCTTGCAGCACTTCAGCATCATGCACTTGGCAGGCATGGTTGAGGGATCCTTAAAGGAAGAACAGGCACATCAAACCCTAGAAATTTGGGTTGTCTCACTAGCCTGGGGTGTCTCACTAGCCCGCTTCCTACCTGCTTTTTGGCACCCAACGTTCCTGCCTTTTCAGGGAGTCACTTTGTTTTTTGTGTCAGGGCTCCTCTGTACAAGTCTGCCTCTCCACCGCTAACAAAGGGACACATCATCCAGCAATTCGCAGGGCACTGAGAGAGAGACTGGCTGCTAGTGGGAGGGGGAAGCTTTGTCCTTTTCTCTACCTGCTCCCCTAAAGAGTCATGAGAAAGGAAAACTGTATTTTAATATGAATGAGGGTCTAATTTTTGTTATTCTTTCTTGATTCCTTTCCTTCCACGATCTTGCATCTTGGGTCTAGACTGTGAGCTGTGACCATGCTACAGGCGACAGGCTGTCCAGAGCCAAGGGCTGGGAGAGTACTGAGGGCTGCAGGGCAGCACTGTTTTCACACACTTAACCTGAGGAATGTTCAATTCGGGGGGAAAAAAAAAAAATTATAAAATTAAAAGTGCCTACTTGGGAGAAAAGCTCAGACAAGCTTAACAAAACACAAAGCAGGGATTTCTCCCTACCTTCCCCAACCACACACATCCCTGTCAGAGGATGATGGCTCTCAGGAAAACCTCCGAGGGACAACAGGGCTCAGGCCATGGTTCCCTGTTCACGAATAGCAAGCCAGCACCCTGCCATCTCGCTGAGCTCCATGAACATGAGCAGAACAATACAGCGACACACAGTGACATTTCACAGTACTTACCGAAACACAGATAACCCACATTAGAGCTACTTGGAGGAGGACAGAAGAGTATCTATCTATTCTACGTAAAATTTGAGACAATTTCTACTGCTATAGCATTATCTTGTTCATGGAAATGAATTTAGAAATGCGCTGAGATAGGAACTCATAGCATTTGTGACCCAGTGGTGAGAGATTCAGAGCTGGATTTACAGTATCATCCAGCTGCTGCTTCCCCAGCTCCAGCATATGTAAACCGGTGTATTTGCATCACTTCAGAGCAAGGTCGAGCTCCAGTCCTCTGAAGGAATTCCCTTACTGAGAATAATGGGAGATCCTTGTAGGGGGAACTTGCTGAATGAAAACATCTTCATGCACAGTCCTGTCTCACCTCGCTTAGGCCAAGAGGCCAAGGCTGCTTTTGGACCTGAACTTCTATCTTAGCTGCTGAAGCGCTACAGAAAGGGTTTGTTAGGGTATGTTCTAGCCCAGTGAGTGGCTGCATTCACTTCCACACTTAATGAGCCAACTTATGGGGAGAGGGGGACACAACCCCAGGTCAAAAAACAAATTGTTTCTGCTATTTTGCGGAGAACAGGATTAGACTAGACCTCTGTTGCTGTTCCAGCTGAAAACAGCTCCAAAAGAAACACAAGTGGATACTTGCATCTGCTCTGTGAGTCATTCCCAACAGGTATTTTTTAAAAGAACATCAGCTCTAGAGTTTCATGGGCAGTATAGCCAGTCTGAAGGCTGATGGTGCCACAAGCACATGGTCCAGACCTGATCACCCTGGAGAGCTTCTCAAACATCCACATCATGTTTCCCATAAAATTATCTGTGTCTGTATAATTTCTGAATTTACCTTCCTAATGTGTTTTTATGTGTATCATTTATTTGGGGGAAAATAACTTGATTTCTTTTTCTAAATAAATTCTGACTTCAGATAGTATGGTTTTATACAGTCATACAAATCTTGTTTCCCTCACAAATTGAAAAATATGTTTGGTCACTTGATTAGAGGTATGCTTGGGAAGAGAGAGCAAATTATCCTCTTTTCCAGATATCCAGATATCCAGGGGATATCTGGAAAAGAAAAGAGATTTGGTGGTTAAAGCATAAAAACAAAGGTAATGGAAGACAAGTGGGATGAGGAAAAAAAATTTAAAAGGATGAACACAGGCAAAAAAAGAAACAAAAAGAAAAAAGTTCCATGCACACTATAAAACGTGTGCGACTCCCAGACAGAATCTGATCTATACATGAAAACTGGTCTATTTTTGAAAATTGCAAACTATGAGCAGTCCTTCTGCCTTTCTAAACACACACACACACACGGAGCGCTCCGAGGGAGGATTTGCTGGCAGAGGCGGTGTTACTCCGTCTGTAAAACTCTAATCCCTCTGCTCCAGTTGACCCTCGCCAGCCGTGTCCCCTCGGACGACTCGGGGGTTCCTGCAGCCTCTGGAACGGGCAAACTCAAGGACTGTGGCCCGTAGAGACTCTGTGTTTTTCTCCATCTTTGCAAACGACTGGTTTTGACGAACTCGGAGAGCCCTTGCAGGGATCACGCGTGTCCCGGGCAGCCCTGACAGCAGGGGACCGTGGAGACCGGCGGTCCTCTGTCCCGCAAAGAGCACCACGATGGCTGCGTGTTTGAGGGGCAGTCCCTTCCCGTGCGTGCATCTGGACTGGCGGCACCGAGCAAGCGACCTGCCCGAAACCCACAGCCCGGGGCAGCTCCCCACCCAGCACTGCTTGCTTCGGGGCCAGAAGCAGGATCTGGCTCTTTATTTCTTCTCTCTTGCCCGATCATAATCACTTCCCACCACCTGCCTCCTCCCGTTCATAATCATCTGTCTGACTGGATCCTGCGCGGATTCCACGAAATAAATCACCATTACTTAGGAGGCGATCAAAAATGGGTCCAATAAGGACCCTTACAGATGGCTCAGGGAACCAGCTGGGGCTCATTTATCATGATTCAAGATGGGAGGAGGAGATAAAAGGAAGTCAAAGGAAGTCCCTTTCTGTCAGCTCCTAAAGATGTTTTGCAGTGCAACGGGGCTTGTAGCTACTCCCCTGCCACTGTACATAGGTAGGTGCCTGTGTCCTGCTTCCTTGCACTGGCAGAGGTGAAAAATGTGCTTAATGAATCACGTGCCCTTATTTGCACGTCTTCCAGGAGGTTCTCCAGGTTTTGTAACTCCCAGGTTGTGGGATCCTCCCGATAAGCTTTTAATTTTCTGAAAGTAAATAGTAATCTGGGAAGGGGGAAAGGGGAGCACTTTATCCTCCTCGAGAAGACTTTAGGCCCTGACTTCAAATTCTTAAGATCTTTAAGGCTCTTTTGCAGCTACAATGTTCGTTTCCTTTTAAATCTGACCCGGTGATTCCCACCTCTCCTTGGTGCATAGCAAAAGAAGCTTTCTTATTTTTTTTAATCTGTCACTTTTAAAAGAAAAAGGGCTCAAGTGGCTGGGGAAAGAAACTTGAAAACAGTGAAGGCAATTTCTCTGTGCTACTGCAGAGCAGGACTGCCTGACTCAGCCTTGGGCTAGACTCTGAGAGGAGCAGTCCGGCTTTCTCTGAGCCCTCTTCCCCGCAATACAGACACCGCTCCGTAGCGCCGTCCCGGCTGCGCCCCGGCTGCGTTCACTTGCCGGGAGGCGGAGGGCTTATCTTTGGCAATGATGGTTGCGATCTGCAATGCAGACGCACGAAGTCTCCGCATGCCCCGCGGCGGGCTCTGGGTCCATTCTTTCTATTTGGGCGGGGAGCGGTGAGGAGGCGGAGGTAGAGAAAAGTGTTAAATGTTGGGGTGGGGGTGTCTGCTAAGCCTTGTCCAACTCACCAGGTGACTCTATTCGGGCCTTCTGGCCCCGAGGGGGAAACAAGGACCTTCCTCCCACCTCCTAGCAAAGAGGGATGTGGTGACGCCCACGGTGTCACCTAAGGGCCAAGTTGGGAAGCGGGGCCTGCTGTCCCAGTCCACCCCGCCCCCAGTCCCTGAATACCCCCGAAGTCCCTCCCCACCAATCAACCAGCTTTTAACATGATAATGGCCATGACAATACCTTCCAGCCAAGGCCAGGCTGGAAAGGACTTAAAGGATCGCCCCCCCCCTCTCCCCAGTCCAATGGGGTACTTGACCGCGGGCCGCCTGCCGCCTCCTCAGCCACACCGCCGCATGCTCGGGTCTGGGGGTCCCGGCCCGGCCATGAGCGCTCACCTGGCCATGCCATCCTGTCTGTCCTACCCAGGCGCGGCCCTGTATGGGGACTACTACTGGCTCTCTCCAGGGAACACGGACAGCGTGCCCGCCGAGGAGACTCCGACGACGGACGCCCTCCCCTTGCCCGCGACAGAGAAGACGCCCAGTCCACCAGGTACGGCCCGGCGGAGCGGTCGGGCTGCCCTCGGCTGGGGGTGGTTGTGTCCCCTGTGCCCCTCTTGTCTGTGGGATGGGGGGCGATGACGGTACTGCCGGCGGCCCCCTGCTCCGGCGGGGATGCTCCGCCGGCGGCCCCGAGGGGAGAAGTGGCGGGAGCCCGGGGTGCTGCCGGCGGCCCAAGCGTGGCCTCCGTGCCCAGAGCGGACGGGGCAGAGGGGCGAACAGCGAGGGGTCTCGGTTCCCCCGCCACGACGCTGCCTGTGCCCACTGCCCACAGCTGCGGAGCCCCTGCGAGTTGCCAGGGCATCCGCAAACCTAAAATCTCCCGAGAAGCTGGAGATTAAAGTTTTTGAGTCTTTTCCCTCTGATTCTGCTAACACCAGTTGTCTTCTCTTCTTAGTTGACTCTCCAGCTTCTTCCAGCTCTGGGACACTCACTCAGTACTACACCCCTGACTCTGCCACCAGCCCCACCGCAGCAGCGAGCCCCTCTCCCCACTCCTCTTTCCAGAAGGTCAAGGCGCAAGGCAAAGGCATGGTGAAGACGGGCAAGAGCCGCACAGCCTTCTCGCAGGAGCAGCTGAAAGCCCTGCACCAGCGGTTCCAGACCCAGAAGTACCTCAGCCCCCAGCAGATTCGGGAGTTGGCTGCTGCCCTCGAGCTCACCTACAAACAGGTGAGGTTGCCCTGAGCAGCTGAGTTTCATCCCTGGCATGAAGTGACCTTGAGAGCAAGGGGGGGGGGGGTGGTGTTTCTCTTTTCTTAGACCCCAGAGATAAGTTTCTTTCATGGTCATGTTTTATACTATTGCTTACGTGAGAGCAGAGAGGTGCCAAAGCTTATGACTCAGTCTTCCTCTTATGTTTGGCTCCAGCACTACCCACCTACTCCATGCAGGTGTCTGAAAGGGCATGCAGAGCAGCAAAGCAGGGCCATGTGGAGTCGGGTTATTGTTCTGTATGGACACGTGTTGCCTCTGAATGCAACAAGTCAGATTCTTGCACTGCTGTGCACGTTGCTTTTCTTAGTCATAGTGGCACCAGGGCCTCTCCCTAGAGAAAGGGTCCTTGCCCCACCAGCTGCTTGTTTGACTCGGCCCTGAGCACTGATCTTGGCGCAACAGTGAGACGATGCTGCTTTACAAGCTGTATTTCTGTCTTGGCCTGTCTTTTGGGTAGTGTTTTTGAAGTCGTGGAAGATCCTGTGGTTATATGAGGAGTAGGAGTGTTAGTTTTCATGTCTCAGCTCTGTGATTTCACAGCTGCCTTGTCTGCTACATGCTGTTAGCTGCTGAAATTATATACAGTATTAGAAGCCAAGCAGAAGGAAAAACATCTTGGGGATGAGCAGTAAGCTTTGAAAATGAATTTCTAATTTCTTATGCCCTTTCCCCTTCACTTTTAGGTGAAAACCTGGTTTCAGAATCAACGGATGAAATTCAAACGTTGCCAAAAGGAGACCCAGTGGGTGGAAAAAGGGCTGTATCTACCTCAGGTGAGTAAATTTCCTCACCTCCAGTCTGTGGAGAGAAGTGCAGTATGTCCAACCTGTTAATTCAAGCAATGCACAGGATTCGATATTACCAAGGCAGTTGCAATTATTGTTATAGGCCTTACAGTGGCATCTATTATAACCTTGGCTTGGCACTGATAAAGCATTGTTTCCAGCCCACTTATCTCCCACTTAAGAGAGAGTGAAATAAATAGCCAAAGATGGCCAGCAAAGCTATTTGCTGTTTTTCTCACCTTCGTGGTGCTCCCAGACACGCTGATCTGGAGATAACGAGCCACCTTTGCTATTACTTGTCTATAGGGAGGACAATGAGTATGAAAAAAGGGTGCTATTTGTTTGGTTTGGAGGGGGGGGGGGGGGGAGAAAAACAAGGACCCATCAAAAAGAATGGGCAGTTGGTGTGGTGCTCTGCATTACTGAACAACCTTCTTTGTCTCTCCTAGAATGGGGCTCGTCAGGCTGCATACCTGGATATAATGCCCACATATCACCAGGGCTTCCCTGGCGGTGCCAGCAGAAACCTTCAGGCTATGACCAGCATGCACCAGTCTTACAGCAATGGACAGACTTATGGGAATGGGCAGAGCCTGTACTCATTCGTGGCTGTGGAGGATGAGGGGCTCTTTGGAAAAGGTGGGACAAGCGGCAATATCCAGCAACCTGTGGGTTTATCAAACCAGCCAATGAACTTCTATCACAGCTACTCTGACAATGTAGATTATGTCAGCCTGGAGTCAGAAGACACCTATGGCTTCCAGAGTACCTCTGATGCTGTCGCATCATTTTCGAGCTCTCCTATACAGCATCAATACCAGGTCCCTTGGCATCCCATGGGGGCCCAGAGTGGTTATGAGTCTCAGGTTTAAGTATTTTTTGCTCCCTGGTTTTGTGTTTGCTCATGGGGTTTCCAGAGTCTTGACCCAGGGATGCAGATTCTATTCTTTTATCTTGCCCCTACTGCTGTTTTAATCATCGGAGAAGGGGCTCAGCACTTTGCTGACTTGAGCTAGTTTTCTGTTTAAAAGTGCTTGTCTGTTCAGAGCTAACCCTTGGCAAAGGTGTTCTGTGTGTGGGTAAGATGGAACCTCCTTCATTAAGGTAAATGTGCAATGCCACAGCTGCAAGCAGCATAGGTTTTAAAAGTTTTGTGTGTTGTTCAAGTCTCACCTTACTTTGCTGCCTCTTTAGCAGGTGAGCTCTGATCCTTGCCCTGTGTGTCTTGTATCAGAGCTTTCATTGCAATGAAGGCAAACGCTTGTTGCAGAATAATTTTTCTTAAAGTGGTGTTTTTGTTAGTTTTTTTTTTTGGCAGTGTTATCAAGCATGTTCTATGTTATGTGCATGTTGTCTTATATATTACTTTGTTTCTGCCTAATGTTCTTAATGTTCTCATGTTTGGTTTAATGCTCTTAATGTTCTTACGAATTTGTATTATTTGATAATAAATTACTTTATTTTAATCTTAAAACGGTGTCACCAGTTTGCATTGAAATAGCCTGCTATGAGAATGGTTATTCTACACAGGTTAGAGCTGCAGTGAGGGAAGGTAGAAAAAGGTAACTTTGCAGTGTTTCTCCCAGAAGTAGGATCAATCAACTGTTCAAAAGGAGTAGGTCACAGAAGTCCATCAGCCTTGTATTTAACATGCAGGTGTGTTGCCTAATGCAAGGTGGGAGGGGAGCTCCAGGGCTGGACAAGCTGGCTTAAAGTAACGTGCAGCCCTGTAAAATGCTTGTATTAGCCTTTAAACTGTAATGCTTTAAAAAAGTATTGAAGGATGAGGATAGGAGAAAAAGACAGTGTTTTTGAGCTTGTGTGGTAACCTGCTGCTGCTCCAGAGGGTCACAATTAGAGGTCTGGGAGCCTGCTTTGTTGAGGCTGCAGCTCCCTTGGGGTTCTGCTGACCTCAAATGGACAGAAGAATCTGTGTAAATAACAGAATCCTGCCTTTGCCACTGGAACAAAAACAGCACCAAGCTCCTATTAATAACCACAGTCTAAACTAGCATAAATTATGTGTTTTGGTTTAATCCCAGGTTCTTTAAGGTAGAGAACACCATCGAAGCCTTCATCTGTCTGAAATGGGCAGTTCAAGGGGTACTCTCACCGAGTTCCACAATTAGTGGAACTGACAGCTCAGGCTCAAACTGCTACAGGGCCTTTGCTGAACAGAACCTGCTTGTATGTGTGCCAAAGCGCATCCCCTTTTCTTCTGCAAAACTGTAATCCTCTGCTTCCAAGGGTGAGTACAACAGGTACAGGAAGGAGAAACTGGAGGGTTGAGCCTATAGAGGAGGAAGAAAGGCTTAGCCATCCGTGTGTGTGGACTGCCAACCTTAAACAGTAGAAAAAGTTTAAATTTCCTGGAAGAGGAGGAAATGCCAAGTTCGCATGATTTTTTTTTTTGTAGTACAGAAAAGAGATCCTTTTTCATCCTGACTACAGATTCTTGTCCCAACATCAATTTCTCTAAATTCTTATTAATACTACTGCTAGAGATATACTTGATGAAAGTAAAAATTACTTATAAAAATAAAGTGGAATCATATACCTATGAAAGTCGTAGATATTAAAGCCTTGTCATTCAGCTTTAAAATTAGTAGCTTGCTTTTTTTTTTTTTTTTTTTAATGCAATCTTTACAGAAATACCAAGGTATGCAGGTTTTTGCAGAACGATTGCAGAGGATGCTTGCTACAGCTTACCTGTGTTGCTTGGGTATGTTTGGTTTCCATGTTTCTGCCCCAGGGGTAAGGAGATAGCCTTGCTGGCAGATGTCCTTCTGCAGAAACAGATATTGTTGCTAAAACAGCCCTGGGGCAGAGAGAGATTGCTCTGCATGCTGTGGTTTGTGTTTCTGCATTTGCCATGGAGTGCTCCCTCACCGGTCTGTTAATCCCCTGGTTGCTCAGCCTGGGTTGCATGCAGGTTTGGTAAGCACATGTAGCTGTAGGGAACGTGCAGAGCAGCTGTTGTTGGTATTTTGGCAGGTGGGCTGGAAAGAGCTGCTACTAGTTAAGGAAACCTTTCTAGAGGCTGTGGAATTAAGTAGAACTCCACCTTTCCATGCTGCTGGCTATCTCCTTTGTTACCTTGAAGTGCCTGAATTCCATCACCATGTAAAACAACTGCACAGGTAATTGTGCATTACCACCAAAACTGGTGGAGATGCAATTAATCCCTCCAGACTCATACTTGCCAAAAAAAAAAAAAAAAAAGTTTTATATCAGTTCCTCAGAGGAAGTGTGTGCCAGGAAGAACTCTACTACGATACATAACATCTCTGTTAGGACTGTTGCTTCTCATGACTGTTCTGTGTAACAGTGACTTCTGCACTCTAAAAACATGACGTGCCTTGCCAGGAAATCTTTTTAGGATCAAGATGTAAGATCATTTGGAGTTCTTCATATGTATTAAGCTTACATAAAATGGGAGTGGGAATACACTGTACTGCTCTCACAGTATCTCTGCAGTGTCGACACGCCCATTTGTCAATGCTGCACATGTACTTTCAGTGACACAGAGAATCCCACCCAAACAGAAGAAATTAGATCTAGTACATGTTATGTAGACCAAGGTTTATTCTCTAGTCTACTGGGTTCTGGCATTTGCTGTCCTATAGGCAAAACACCAACCAAGTAGAGTGACGTGAGCAACCGCGTTCCTTGCTCTCTGTGTCAACATGACCTGTAGAGATGTTTTACAAGCTCCGTGTTTCTTCTGAGTGGCCCATGAGCAAGGGCTCATGGCCCCAGTTGTCTCCCCAGTGCAGATAAAAGCCATGATCTCTGCTTTAATAGGCTCTTCCCTACAGGAATATGTGAACATGTGGAGTTATCTAACTATACCACGTGACTCATGCTGAGCTGACAGCATTTTGGAAATTTTCAGTAAAGTGTTGCCACATCTCTTTCTTGGCCCATCATTAGAGGGCAGCAGCATATTAGCTGATACTGAATAGTTATGAGACAGGAAAGACCTAAAATCATGACACTGGTCTTACACATAAAAAACAAAAACCAACCACCCAAACAAAAAAACAAACAAAAAACCAAACAAACAACTTATTTTTTCTTTTCTATGGGGGGCCACATTATCTTCATGCTGTCCAAAGTTTTGAAGAGCACCCTCAGGTCATATCTGTGAATCTCTTTCATAACCAGGCTAGGATTAATTTCTGCCACTTAATGGAAACCCATCTGCTCACAGGCAGGATGTGTCTCTAGCAGCTGGGCTGTGTTCAAACCATTAAATCTTTTACCAATTACAACATTAGGACTTCTGCTTTGGGTGAGTCCTAAGATCCATCCAAGTCATTGCTTCGATGCTGGGGAAGGACCAGAAAAGGAACTTAAGTCCCCAGTGTCCCTCTGTCTGGCTGAGGCTGAAGGACTGAGTCTAACAGAGGCTGCATTCCTGCTGCTTTTACACAGGACATTGTGAGTGAAGCTCTTAATACAGCAGACATCAATAGACTCCCTTCCTGGAAGTTGCTTATTTGCCTCTTGGAATTGCTGCAGGTTCTTGGTCTCCAGAACCATCTCTGGCAATAAGGTCTGTCTTTAAATAATGGCCTCTGAAAAATTCTGTGTGTCTCCGAGGAAATGGCAAGATTTGGTAGTGTTTGTTAGCACTATTTTGTGAAGGCCAATAGCAGGGAGATCACAACCACTGTTCTTACAGGCAGCGTCTTTCTGCAAGTCAGTCCTGGAGACTTAACAGCAAGATCCTGCCTGTCCTAAAGCACCTCTGAAGGAGCAGGTGTCTCCTTTTCCAGAGAATTATTAGTGAGGAGCAGTCACAAGCTCAACTATTCCACCTACATCTGCCTTTGATGGGGTGGCATGGAAAGGTTTCAGATGATATTCAAATGAGTAAACAGCACTGTTGGCTCCAGAAGGACTGAAAAAAATCCTTACACTGGTGAGAGAGCCCTGATAATTGTTTCTATTGTAGTCCATCTTGAGATGTTAACCAGAACCTTTTCAGTTAATTTAATTGATTCCCACCTCTCTGATGGTTGCAAGTTCGTGTCTTTCCCAGCCTTAGCCACTTGCTGGCTGTAGGGGGTGGGGCGGGGTGCTGTGCCAAAATTATATGACTTAGAAATTCACCGTCTAAAAGGCCGTATTTTTCCCCAAATCGTGCTGGCCATATATTGTGATTTAATGCCAGGCAACAACTAACCACCACACAACCACTCCCTCGCTCTCCACTGCTGAGATGGGGGAGAGAACTGGAAGACTAAAAGAGAGAAAGTTCGTGGGCTGAGAAAAAAACAATTTAGTAGGTAAAGCAAAAGACACACACACAAAAACAAAGCAAAACAAGGAATTAATTCACCATTTCCCAAGGGCAGGCAGGGGTTCAAGCCACCTCCAGAACATCAGGGCCCCATCAGGTATGTTTACTTAGAAAAGCGGTGTAACTCCAAAACATCCCCCTCTTCATTATTCAGCCAGCTTTATACGCTGAGCACGATGTCATATGGTCTGGAATATCCCTTGGGTCAGTTGGAGATCAGCTGTCTCAGCTGCGTCTCCTCCTAACTCCTTGTGCACCCCCAACTTTCTCACTGTCAGGGAGATAAGGAGAAGCAGAAAAGGCCTTGACACTGTGCAAGCACCACTCAGCATTAATGAAAACATCTCTGTGTTATCAACCCTGTTTTCAGCACAAATCCAAAACATAGCCCCATCCTAGCTACAAGAATATTAACTCTCTCAGCCAAAACCAGCACACTGCACAGTTTAGAGTAGGGTCCAAGAGTGTCTGCATGAGGGAGTGGGAACAAACAGCTGTGAGGCACAGAGACATAAATCAGCTTTGCCAGTAGAAGAACATGCCTCTTATTACTCCAGTCACAGAAATCATTGCCTTCATTTATGCTCATTTTTTTTAAACCATGACAGTTACTTCATTGCATTAAGTATTCAGTATTGCTGGGTAGGGGGAATTCTTAAGGTGGGTAGCTCTTTGACTCTATACATCTGTCATTGTCAAGAGTCATGAAGCCAACCTAGTTTCAGTATCAAATCAGTAACAAAAATAGCATATGATTGTTATGGCTATTTATGTTGTAATGATCTACTGCAGTGGAAAAAAGATATGGAAAAATACATAGTGCATCTTAAAATTTCTTTTTTTTATTTTCCAAATTGAATGCACTGTTAGATTTTCTCAAGGGGAGGCACAGAAAGATACAGACTAGAAGGAAGGGGTTACTTATAATTTTGGTGCTCATAAGATCATCTCACCAGCCTTTCTGCAAATTACTTGTCACATCTCCCTTCCCCGGACACTTCGTCAATTCTATACCTCATGGCTGATCTACAGAACTGGTGGTCTAAACATCAGATGGATGCCTGGCACGTGGCAATAACTTCTCCAGCTTCAGCAAAAGGTGTGTGACGAGCACCTCTCCATGCAGCCCATTGCTTCATGTGTTATATATGTATATGTGTACAGTGATATGTATAAATGAGATCCCCAAAAGGATGTGCCTCATCTGAGACAAGTTACACAATCCATAATTTAGAAGATCCAAGGAAGGCATAAGCTTTGTGGCCAGATCGTGGGTCTTGCTGTAAGAGAACTTCGTTATCTGTGCCAATCAAGGAGTGTGAGTGTGCAGGTCCAAGGGCCTACAAATGAAGGGCTGTATGTGCGTGTATGGGCAAACAGGTATCTGCGTGTCTGTGTGTCTGTACATGCTTGGAGGCACATATTCAGATGTCAAAACAGATTCTAGCTACAGGGTGCTCTTGAGTTGGAGAGCACGCGAATAACAAGGGGAGAGATGAGAATAATATTCGATTCCTGGCTGCCCAAGTAACCCACATCCACAGTGCTTAGGAATGATAGAGATGGTGGCCAGCAGTGGTTGGGAAAGGAACCCCCATGGTGGCTGAGTGGTGAAAATTACAGCCATCACCTGTCTTTGAGCCTGGATATTCCACACTGCCAGGATAGCTGTGGTAAAAGTCTACTTTGTGCTGGGCGAGGAAGCCCACTGTCTGCTGGATACTGCAGGTACCTCCGCCTTTGCCAAAGACTCCTCCGTCCTCGCTGGTCACAACTGTGTAAGCGTTCTGTCCTGACCCATAGTGCTGACGGGGGGCAGGCGTGGTTTGGACGTTGGCAGCTGCAGTGATTGGATAGCCCTGGTGGAATTTGGGGTGCACATCCAGGTAACTACTGGTCTGGAAGCCACTCTGAAAAGGAAGGACAGTGAGTCAGCACACAGCCTGGTGACCATAGGCCTACGCTTTCTGGGGCTCTGTCCCTTCAAATACCATGTTGTCTCTTGATCAGCAGCAATGGCATGGAGGACAAGAAGAACCATACCCACTCCCACAGCTCAGGGGTGGATACACAATTGTATACAGATATATATATAAGGAAAAGAACTTTTCTCTGGAAACATTTCCATGTCATAGTCAGCCCATTTCTAGGCTATATAGAGTGCATGTAGAGTCCTGTCAAGTCTGTGCCTCTGTGCTGAGCAAAGCAGAAGGCAGGGTGCGCTGATACTTGTATGTTTAAGTTTCCCCCGAGGAGGAAATACATCACAGGACTGATCTGTCCAGATAGAAGAGCCATGATGAGCTATGTGCTGTGTTCTTACTTGTGTGAGGCACTGAGCCCGTTCAGTCCACAGGCTGTGCTTCTGGCACCGTTTCAGCTTCATTCTCCGATTCTGGAACCAAGTTTTCACCTAAGGGGGGCAAGGGAGAGCAGAAGAAAATGTCAGCAGAGGGATGTTACCAAATTCAAAAGGAGGAAGAACCAGGGGAAGAGTGACCAGATGGCATAGATATATGGGCAGCAGCAGATAAAGGCTTTTTAAGAGCTCCCTGGGGTTGTTGCCAAGGGGAGAGGTCTGTCTAGCAGCCTCAGCAGGTGGCTAGTGCAACTGTGTGATGGGGGAGGGGCTGGCTTTATGTCAAGGGACAGTGATGGTTGTGACAGATCAACTCATTTCAATCATGGAGGTGATTGTCTGGTGCAAATCAAATCCTCCAACAGATTTCCAAGCTCCCTGCGCTACAGGCAAACTTCTAAGACACTATTTCTGCATGTTTGTGAAAGGAGAAGAGAGAGACTTGCTCCTTTTAGCCAGCATTTCCCAAATTCAAAGCTCCTTGCTGGGGTGAATTCCAGAGCCGTTTCCCCCCAGGGCTGTGTCTGTGCTGTGAAAGCAGCCTTGCAGGGATGTGGATTGAAGGAAAGAGCAGACAGTCCCATATGTATTGTTCCTGAAAGGACGAGTTCCTGTGTGTGCGTGTTATATGTGCACCTACAATGCACGTATAACTTTTTAGTCCCGGGGCATCCAGGCCACGTCCAGCTTTGAGATCCAAGTTCCAGGCACATTTTGGACTTGTAACTGCAAGCATTTGTGCCCTATTGCCCAGCCGCCTCTGCTTTAGGAAGGCATGATTTGAGGCAGCATGATTTCACTACACACAACATACCTGGAGCTTAGCAGAGACCCTGAAGGGCTATGATGTATGAACCTCGCAGTACCCACATGGACAGGGGAGCAGGTGTCAAGCAGCCGGGCACTGCTGAGTGTGGAACATTATTAGATATTGGACAAGACCAGCCCTGGGAAACACCAGCAATAGCTTTCAGCATGTTGCAGCACTGTGTTTCAGAGAACTGATGCGTGCCAGGGTTTCTGTGAAGTTCACAGAGCATGGAAAAAGCTGTGAAGTGCTGTCAAGCCCAGGGTAGAGACTGTTCACAGCAAAAAACATATTCATCACTGGGTTTGCAATTCTACTGCAAGTGTTGGGAAAGAACCTTTAACTGACCCCTGACTGGGGAGGCCCGAACGAGGTGCCACTGGCTCTCCTATCCACAAAAGTACTTCTGATCTCTGGGCATGAATAAGCAGGAGAGCAACTGTTAGATGGCACCTTTGCCTCTACTCTCTGCTGGTGACTCATCTTTCCATCCTTTGCTGATGCTGCTGCATGTGACCATTCAGCCACTGTGAGACAGATATACAGTGGGTCAAAGTTTCTGTGTTCACCTGCTTGTAGGTGAGCCCCAGGGCAACAGCCAGCTCCCGGATCTGCTGCGGGCTGAGGTACTTCTGGCTCTGGAACCGCTGGTGCAGGGTTTGCAGCTGCTCCTTGGAGAAAGCTGTACGGCTCTTGGTCTTCCTTATGCCCTCCACGCCACATTCTCTGCCCTTCTGAGACTTAGCTGTAGGTTGTGGGGACAAGGATGACGAATGTGGACTGGTGGCTGAATCTGGTGTGAATTGGCTGAAATTCCCAGAACTGGATGAAGCTGGGGATATTTCTATAAATAAAAAGACAACAGGAAACAGTATACAAGATGTAACACAGAGCTGTGTGGGTATTAGCACGCTCCCTACCTGCTGTAGAGCTCCCTCCTGCCAGACAGGAGCTCTCTGGAAGCAAAGGCTTCTGTCACCCTCCCTTCTTCATGGATCTGAGCACAGATAAGTACACTGACAATGAGCAATTTCCCAGCTCAGTCCCCTCTGGGGTGCTTGTGCCTCCCTTTTGCCAGGCAGAAAATTCAGGACAGGGAGGGGACAGTGGTGCACATTGGTTCACAGTGTTGCTATGCTCCTCCAAAAGGCCTCAGTAGTATTTCAGTTTTGATGCGGTGTTAGGAGACCTGGTCATGACTGCAGGTATAGCTTTGGTTGGTGACTGGGCTCCCCAAAATTGCCTGCCCAGTAATATCAAGGCATTTGATAGTGGCAAAGCAACCTCCCATCAGAGTGTATGGTGGGGCAGAGAAGCTGGTGGTTACACTGACAGGGTGGCAGGTGTAGAGCATCAGTCAGACCTTGAATATTGACTCAGTCCTGTTTGCCTGCATCTCCCACATGCCAGTCTTGAAAACACATGTACAGATGGAGGTTCCTATTTGGCTGGGGGGAGCTTTTGGCAAGAGAAGAATGAAGGGGAGAAATTTGACATGGAAGTGGGGAAGGAGAGAGGAAAGGTTGATGCATGGGACAAGTGAGCCATTAATCCTGTAGCAGGGACATGGGGGACAAAATTCAAGAGCGCAGAGGAAGGCATCTGAGCCCCTTTTCATTTGTCGTGGTCTTAAGGGGTTGAGATAAAGATCTACAGAAAAAACTTTCTGAACAATCTGGGCTACCAGTGCAGGCAAAAGCTGCCAAAATGCAAAATCATTCAGGCTGAAGGAATAAGAAAATGCTAATAAGAGAGATTACTCCAGCTCCTTTCTCTCAGATGCCTAGCTACTGAGATCTGAGGGAGGCTGAGACCTTCTCAGGCCAGCCCTGACTGAAAGGCTGTGATGCCAGACACCCCTCTTTCCCATAACTGCAGTGATAAATCTGTCCATGTCTCCTTCCTCCAGCTACTCCTCCGCAAACACTTCTGCATGGTCTGTTCCCCCCCCTTCTACTGACATTTCAGGAGAGAGGGAGTGCAGTGAATGGGGCAGTGCTGTTTCAGTACACACTTTCTGACTACCGAGCCTAACCAATATCTCCCAACCTCCTTCCCAGTCACCCTGAGAGCTGTGACACTGAAGCCCACTGAGACACCCTCCTCAACCTCTCGAATGTATGTCCAGTGCAAAGTACTGATGTCGCCCTGAGGAACAGGCGTCCCATCAGCCCTACCAAACCTTTCCTTCTTCTATCCTAAGCTGAGAGCCTACTAAGCAATAACTCAAAAGCATTGAGGTGCTGTGGACCTCAGAAAGGTGGCCACATCTGGGATACCATTCCCCTTGTTACGCTCCTTGCAGAGGCACGCTTGTCTCTGTAGTGCCTGCCACTCCAGGCTTGTCTGCTCTTGCCATTTGACATCCCTAGGAGATTATATCACCCAGAACATGGGCTGCATGAGCAGGCAGGTGTAGAGTGGGGCAGGGTTCTGGTGCTGGGGAGCAGGGCCATCGGCACTACAAAGGGATTCTGTCTACAAGGAGAAAGAGACTTTCAGCAGAAGAGGTGCAAGGGCCCTTATGTGCATGGGGGTAGACTGGAGAGGCTTAGGAAGGTGAACATCCATGACCTGGCTGCATGGGAAGGTAAAATTTTGTGCAGGATCTTAGGATGCTTGGCTCCTGCAGTCTGTGCATTAAAAACCTTATACGTAAGAAATGAACATGTTTGGAATGTGGGCATGGAAAATATTAAAGTCACCTGTTAGACAGGAACCTCAGCAAGACACCATAGAACTAAAGCTTCCATATGTTCCTGCTTGGCTTGTCATCCCAAACCCCCGTGGAATTTATCATGTGCAGCTTGAGCTCAGGACAAAGGCACTCCCTTTCCGATGGGAAGAGAATGAAGGAGAGAGGAAGCAAGAAGCACAAACAGCAATACAACAGACATAAACATGAAAACATATGACATGGGAAGAGAGTGAAGGAGAGAGGAAGCAAGAAACACAAACAGTAGTACAATAGGAATAAACATGAAAGCATGACAGATGCACTTCCATAAGCCCCTGATACCTGTAGGCCTCCACTTCCAGACTGAGCTCTCTCTGGAGAGAGCAGTACCAGAGAAGTGTCTTTGAAGATGGGTTTTAAGTCTATATACCAGGCCCACTTGGGACACGAACGAGCCCATCTGCCTGCTGCCTTCGTGGAGCAGGAAGCATGCAGAGAACTTAAGCCTTTCTCCAAACTACTAGCCACTAGTCACTCTGCCTGAGCCTATAGCTTCCTGTAGCAACTGACAGCTTGAAACTGGCACTCCAAAATCTCACTCTCCTCCCACCCATTTACCTTACTCGAGTGCTGCCCGACTGACCGTGCAACGGGGCTGGGTGAAAACCTGCTTTTCTCAGCTGTTCTATTGCCACTCACTGGAATGGGAGAGGAATGGCAGGAACAGAAAATGCCACTGCGGTGGGGCCTGGGACTTCTTTGCAAAAAAGGAAAGGCAAGGCAAGGAGAGCACAGAAAGGAGAGGGAAATAGAGGAAAATGGCAAACTGAAAAAAAGAGGAAAGTAGCAGTGCTGGTTTAAAGGAAGTTGATCTCCTGGCAAAATGATTCAGAGCAGGCCTTGGCTCAGTTTTAATAAGCATATGAAAGGTGCAAGGAATTTGTAAGGGGATAAGGGATGCCACAAGAAGTATCTTCAGGATTTGTTTCTTTCCATAGCACGCATGACAGCATTTGGCTAAAAGGAGGTGCAGACATTCCTGCCACAAGAACCATGAACTTCCATGAGACCACACTGCCCTTCAGCCTGGAGCAGATCTGCCAGTGCCTCGAAGCTTGCAGGCTCTGTTGAGGTTTAGGAAACCGGTTAACACAGTCGCCAAAGAAAAGTTGCATGGAAAGGCGGTGTGACTGCCCAAGGTCACCTATCCTCCTTGCCTATCACATCGCACTTTGCCTAGGTCACACATTAGGAAACCAGGTCAGGGAGAGAGAAAAAGTTGCTCAAAGTCTTTAGCAATTGGTTGAACTAGGACCAGAGTTATCCTAGGGATCAGCTACCCAGGACTTAGCTGAAATTCCTTACCTGCTGTGTGCCTCTTCCCTCCTACCTCCGGAGACTGCCTGGCACTGTCGGCTCCCGCTGGCCCGGACGATGTGGGAGGGTGCCCTGCCTCCCCCGCCGAGTTCCAGTAAAACTCCAGGTACCCCATGCCAGTCCCGCTGGGGTACGCCTGGTAGGGAGGCAGAGCCAAGTGTGCGCACATGGGGAGCAAATGAAGGGGTAGATCCCCCACCTTCTGATAGATGCCACCTTCACTTGGGGGGCAGATGTCACCAGCAAGCTGAGCTAGCCCCGAATCACAGACAGGCAGTTACCTTTATAGCAGTCCATCCCCTGCCTGGGACTGCAATATTCACCATGGCCCGCTCCTCCAGGCTCTTTGTCATGTTAAAGAGGCTGATGGATGGGGTGGGGACAGAGCAGGGGGAAGGGAAAGTAGCACACGGCATCAGGGCTGAAATATGTCCCCTCTGAATTCTTCCCATTCTGCGGGTTCCTCGGTCACACCTGAGCAAGGTCTGGTCCAGAGGCTCAGGAAAACTCTGCCTGCTTGCTTCTTTGGGCTCTGCTGAAATTGTCCTGTCTCAAAATTCCATGAGTGCAGATGTCCTATTGAAAACAGCCGTTCACTGCATGGGGAGAATAAATCCCAACCAATCTCCACCTCATGGGAGTGGACGGGAGGTAATTCTGGTGCTGAGCTATTCAGTATCACACCTGGCAAACCCAAGCCCTGGCCTCAGGTTATGGGGAGGGTTCTGAGACCTTTACTTTGTAGCTTGTGTCGCATTGACACCCGTCCCAAGATCCGCTCACTCATGCGCACGCCCTACTGACCTGGCAGCACTTTCCACACTCTTGGTGCAGATATCAGAGATGGAACAAGGGGGGAAACAAGTGAGACTTAGACCTGGGGGCTAGAACCTACCTTTTTTTTTTTTAAAGTTGAGAAGGAATTTTCTTCCCACAGACATTTGTGGGAGCCAGCTGAGAATGTGTCTGGCCCATCTTCTACATGCCTGTGCCAGAGCAAACTCAGGAATGCTGGGCAAGTCACATCCAGCAACAGATCTCATTTTGCAGAGTAGGCCCAGAAATCTCAGCTGTCTGGTCTACAGGCGGACAATCAGAAGAGACATTTTCACTATGGAGGTAGGAAAAAATCTACTGCACAGAAGGTCCACAGCTAACAGATTTGCTTGCCCAGAGCCTTTCAAAGGCACCTTCTTTCATTTGTGTAGTCTTGGCTGTGGCCGTTGCCAGGCTGTTACAGGTTGGTTGGAATAAAGGACATGAAGAGTCCCCTTTAAGGCAGGATTAGCTGATGTTTGCTGACATATGGCCTACCCAAGGGGGACAGGCACCTGCAGAGCTTGATGCTGCTTTCATCCCAAACCTGTGCTAGCACCCCAGTACCTCCCCAACACACCAGAGAGGAGCACCTGTTTTCTGTGAGAGGGTTCAAGTATCAGCAGGGAGAAGATATGGACAGGTGGGGGTGAGCAAGAGAAATAGAAAGTAGAATTAGATCGGTTTAAAAGGATATAGAACACCACTTCTACCAGGGCTTCTGCTGCTGCTCTGTGCCCCATGGCAGATTACTAGTTCTGGCTTCCCTGTCTGTGGAGAGGGGGCAACCTGGGAGTCTTCTGACGTTCCTGCATGGGTGACAAAGAGGAACTGCAGGACTGGCAAGTGGGTGACCCTGAAAATCAGTGGAGCGGCTCATAAGCCACCACAGGAGACTGTTCAACTCTGTTGCCACATCACAGCATGATTTTGCTGCCATGGGACCATTCATTTTCCCATGAGGTGCAGACTGGAGGTAGCTAAGGGCCTGACTAGAGTCTCTTTAACTTGACACTCAGTATTATGTTTTCTGTTTGCGTGAAACACTTATGACTACAAACTGCAGGGACCGACATACCTCTGCACAAGAACTGCAGTTTAATATATTACATTCACTTGAAAAACTTAATGCAAAAAAGTGTTTTTGAGCACATCTGCCTCAATAGAAACCCAAGAACATCCTGAATATGTCAGTTATGCTGCAACAACCTCTACAAGGTGGTTTTGGCTCATGCCTCCCTGCTGAATCATTCCCCATTTCAGAGCTGCAGTGCCACAAGAGCTCAGATCACTGTCCCTCATGTCTGCCCTCAGGCCCTAGCTGATTAAGCAAAGGAAGAGACACCAATGACAGGAGTTGTACCATATGTTGATGTCCAAGTTTTCATGGCCTTAGGGGCAGTTAGAATATGAAAACAAGGTAGCAAACCTGGAGGATATCAACATCTCTGTTAGGATTGTCAAATATGAAGACCTAGCGGAAAACATGGTGTGGGTGCTGGCCGTGGGTGACAGTGGGTGTCTGAGTACTTGCTGGGAGTCCCACTGGTTGAGCACTTCACACTCGATCTCATTGATTTCAACTACTTCTGAAGGTGTCTGGGATCTTTCCTACAACATGCCCTGAGGCCATAATAAACCAGCTTAGTCACTTGCACTACAAAGTTCCTCTGGGCAGAAGCCGGGAAGGAGGGTGGTGCTGCTCCGGGGAGCAGAGCCACCTGCCCAACTGGACCAGTGAGCTGGGCAGCACAGAGGCAGTCACCTCCCTGGGGGCAGGAGGGGGACTGAGGGGCAGAAGAGCTGAAGAAACCTCAGGGCCTCACTCCCTGGGCTTCAGAGCAGCACCATTGCTGAGGGAGCATCTTATTTCCCCCACAAAGCATGTAACACAGATGTGGCTTGGCATCAAACCGAGAGAGATTCTGGCTAGTTTGGTACTGTTTTATTCAGACTAGGCCCAAATACTCACTATTATCTGACAAAGATCTCCACAAAAGCATTCCCAGGCTCATGCTCTTGGCTCAGAGGGCTTTCTTAAACAGCCTTTATGTACTCTTCTATACCATGAAGCTGAAAATGCACTTCACTACAACGAAAGTGAATTCTCCACCAGTATGTTAGTACCCTGATCTTTCATTAATAGCTAAGTCCACTGCTTTTTGTGAGACGGCACTGAACTTTGCAGCAGTCACGGCAATGAAAACAGTATCCTGCCAATTGCCAGGTGAACCTGCAGAGCAGGTCCCTCTGGGATATCAGTTTCTCCTAAAAAAGGAGTCAGAAAGGGCAGAATGGAAAAGCTCACATCTGAATAAAGATACTGGATGGACCTGATTCTGAGGTGTCTGTGTTCTGGCAGTGTCCTATGACGGTTAACATGCAAGTAAGGCTCGACATGTACAGCATGGACATAATAAAGCAAGAACTGAAAGTTAAAGCTGACAGCATCCTGAGTAGACTTAGATGTTCAGTCACAGTGTGATCCCTTGTGGATCACCACTTCTTGATGTAGCTCTCCCCAGCAGCCTCTTGAGTGAAGATGTAGAGGATGCATCAGGAAAAGTTATCACTCTGTTGCATTCCTTTTTAGCTGGCAGAGCTGTGGCACTTTGGGCTGCAACGGTTCAGAAGTCCTTTTTGCTACCACTGTACCAGGAAAACACCAAGTTTCTTGGAGGCTTGGCCTCACGAGACCCCACCTGGGGGTTGCATGAAGAGGTCCTCTCCCCAGAGGAACCTGCACTGCAGGTGAGAATCTGGCAACCCTCCACAGTCTTTTTGGGCCATACAGTCTCTTTCTGCAAATAGTCGTATTGGAGAACAAGTATTTTATTCTGCCCAAGTTTGCTGTTAAAAAAAGTACGCTTTTCAGTCCTTAAACTTGATGAATGTGGTTTTGGTTAATTATTCAAACATAGCTAATGCAGTTGTTTTAAGAAAAAAGCTTTGACAGTATTGTTTTATTTCTCCTTTTTGGGAAGCCTTAAACAAATGCTCTGCTTTATTTAAACTTTTGCAGGGGTTTTGTTATTGATATTGATAGTAATGGCTTAATCAAAAGACATTTTTAAATGCAAAAAATTGAAAAGGTAATGCAGTTTGAATGATATGAAGCAAAGCAACTAAAACATTTCAACATTTCAACATTCCCACACTGTCCGTCTTTTAACCACTTAGCTGAGCATGTTAACTCTTTAATTGTAACTGGAATATGAATTTAATTCTCTAAAAGCACCAAATTTTTCTCCAAAGGCTTCTCTTTTTTGCTGACTGATGATTTTCTACATTTTTTCTTTGCTTTCTGTGAGACTGTACTGTAATTTAGTCAGATTCCTGTGTTTGCCCGGTGTCACAATGACCTTGTCTTCTTTGTAAATACTGTTAATGAGTCTCCACCAGTAAAGGAGGTTTTTTCCCCCCCCAACACATATGGCTTTGCTGAACTTAGGGCAGGCAGCAGAAAGGAGAAATTATTCAAAAAAATCATAAACGTGCTGCTACTTTTGGGGGGTTTTAGGTGTGTCGTGTGAGGCTGAAAAATTCTGGAAGAAATGAAATGAATTCCCAGTGAGGGTATATAACAAGTTTCAGTTGGGTGATCATGAAGAAAAAGGAAAAAGTATTCCCTTTCTCTTCTTTCGTTGTTCTGGGCCTAAAGCTGGTCAGAACTGGTACTTCACTGTTCACAGCAGTACCAGAGACACACAAAAAAAGTAAGTTAAAACCCCTCAGGGCTGAAAGATTTAAGGGGAGCTACGGTAACACCTACCTAAAAAAGACTGGGAGGGGGGACTAGGAAGTCTGCCAACCTTAAATAACATTCTGAAGTATTTCCTAGCTGCCGTCAATTTTTCCTTCTGTAAATGTAATTTAGCAGACAACTTCACATGTTTTTTGTTAAAGAAGGAAGAGAACAGTCTGCAGAGGCCCCTTCCATTAAATTACTCAGAGTAATAATAGCTCAAATGATTTTGCTGTGCAAAATTTTTCAGTAAAATCAGTGAAAGGTAAAAATTAAAATCTATGCCACACCCATACATATGTGTATACCTATATATTTAAATTCTCTCCCTTTGTCCCCTCCTCTTTCTTTTTTTTTTTTCTTTTAATTTCTGTAGTGAAACAAACGTAAGGGCCAAGAAATTAATGGGCTTAGTTTCCAACAAGGTAGTTTAGGATCAGCTGTTGATCACTATTGTGAGATGGATTTTTCTACTCATATATCCTTTCTGAAATTCTTCACACAATAAGGCCCTCTAAGAGAACTGTACCTTGATCATCATGCCAAGAAGACCACGAAATGGGAAGAAATAATGTTGCCAGTGTTGCCAGCACTCCCACAGTCTCCTG